TCTATGAATAACAACAACACAACTCCGACTACTTACTCACTTATTTGTATACATACAGCGTGCACCACACACACACACACACACACAGAGAGAGAGAGAGAGAGAGAGAGAGAGAGAGAGACAACTCCTCCGCTGTTTTTAAAGAGGCACATCTGGTGGTACTAAAAATAGGGGCTTGTCAGCAGCTTGGTAATTTTAGGCTCAATGAGAAGCTGTCCCCATGGCAACCGTACAGTTGTTGAATCATTTATTATTTGAAGGAGAAAGCCATAATAGTGCTGACAATTTTCAACTCCAGAGCTTTTTAAGGGTACTTCATTTCCCCGTATTCCCCGTTTCAGATCATTAATATTTATCAGACGGCACCAGCTCTTGAGCTCCTTGCTTGCTTTCATGCTAAGTTCTAACAATTTGATGTGTGTGGAGCGACGGAGTCTCAGCATGGCATTTGATAAAGGGGGAGGAGGGAGGAAAGGAATAGACATAACTTGGTGCTTTTGCGCTCCACGAGCATTGCCAATGTTTGCTCCCCAAAGATACGACACTTAGACATGGCTGGGCAAAGACTGTTGCAGAATTAGATTCAAATCCATATATCTCCACCCCCCGCCATGGCGCATTGTTCTTTGTCCCCCTTGGTGTTTTCAAATAGTGTTTGCTTAGAAGCACACAGAGAGATCAGAGCCGTCTGAAGAAATTACAAACCTGAGGAAGTCCAAATGCTCTCCTCCTTTCTAATTAACAGGACTCGCATAAGAACCTGCCCATACCATAAGAGTTGTATCAGAAAACTTTGAAGGTTAAGTGACTGGCAGCTGGGGATGGGGGGCCACCACAGAGAAGGCCCTGTGGAATGCTCTTTTGAGAAAACACTCACTATAGCCTACACTGTATAAGGCACCAGGGATCTCAAACTGGGCCCAGGCACCACCAGGGCAACTCTTGGCCAGAGTGTATCTATAGGTCCTTGTTTAACTGATCTGGGTCCCAGATCGCATCCTCCACTTCTGGCACATATTGGATCAACATCTGCCTGACTCAGAACCCAACCAGTCCCGTCTGGACCATATCATTTGCCTCTGACTCAAACTGGCCAAGCCGAGCCGAGCCCTGCCCTGGTACTGTGGCTTAATGGGCAATATTTTCATGTTGCTCTTATTCTTTTATTATGGTCTTTTTAAATTGCTTATTGTTTTATGATTGACCTTTACATTGGGGTTACATTTCTGTTTTAGTAGATTGTTGTTGTTAGCCAGTTTGGAAGTCTTTCCCCCCCCCATACTGACAAGTAGGAAAGAAAGCAATCAAGAGGGATTTATTTTTTTTAAGGGACACCCTTTTCAGGATAGATCAACTTCCCTCCATTTCAATAAAGCTTGTGCAAGAGAACTTCTCTGTGCCTTTAACGTCCACCACAGCAAGCCCAAACCATTTTAATCAGCCTTGTACAGTGGTACCTTGGGTTACATACACTTCAAGTTATATATGCTTCAGGTTACATACACTTCAGGTTACAGACTCCGCTAACCCAGAAATAGTACCTCAGGTTAAGAACTTTGCTTCAGGATGAGAACAGAAATCATGCTCCGGCGGCACGGTGGCAGCAGGAGGCCCCATTAGCTAAAGTGGTGCTTCAGGTTAAGAACAGTTTCAGGTTAAGAATGGACCTCCAGTACTTAGCCTGAGGTACCACTGTATTTAACAACTCAGTTAGCATCCATTGGCAGCAAGGAACTCCAATACAGGTGGGTTGCGGAGGGAACAAATATTATCCCGCCTCCACTGGTCTACTTGGTTTCTGTGATGGCCACGGAGGAAGGGAAGTCTACCCCTGTTCCACCAATTCTCTGGATAGAAGTCACGTTAAGCTCAAGAGGCTAGCAGCTTGCATTTTCATGCTGGCTGCAGAATCACAGAATCACGGGATGTGGAAGATAATCTGGTGTAAATTCCATGCCCAATGCACAAATTTGTACCTCCCCTGGCAGATGACCATTTAGCCTATGCTTAAATACTGCCCGTGAAGGAGACATCGCTACCTCCAGAGGCTGTCTGTTCCACTGTCTACAGCTGTTGCTATTAGAAAGTTTCTGCTTATGCAGATATAGAAGGAAGAAATAGCAGGTTAGCAGTTTGATTTCCTGCTCCCTCTTCTGGAATGGCTCAGAACAGCAGTGCGTACTATATTGCCGAGAAAATTAGTAATTTGCCGTTTTGTGGAGCTTGATGCTCGCTGGTGTCAGTTTGTTTAGAAAGTATGGGCAAATCTGCATGGCAGTTTTGATAAGTGCTAATGTGCATCTGATGTGGAGAGAGAGAAAGAATTCTCCAATCTAAATTATCTCTAGTTCTGTTTCGATTTATACTCACAGTGGACAGATGACTTATGTAAGTTATGCATGCGACTGTAAGGGTGGCCTAACAGTATAACCAAAAATGACGAAGGTTTGCAGAATTCATCTCACCATAGTGGGCAAGACTGATCAGGTGACCTGTGTGCCTGATCAGGTGATTGGTCATCTGTGCCCAGATGCTCAGGACAACTTCAAGGTACCTGCTCTGCCTTCTTATGGTTCTTTCTCTTTTAAATGGTCTTGAAATAAACTGCCCTTCAACAGAGAGCTGTCTTCTATAAAGCTGGGCACATGGTCACCTGGGCAACCATTTCACTCTTTTGCTGAGAGCACCTTTTCTTAGATGAAGGGTGTGTGTGGAAATCCCTCTGTACTTTTAACTACTAGCAGCAAATTTTAAAACCACTGAGCTGGGCCAGTAAAGCACACTATTTGCTAATGAGATGAAATGGCACTATGAAGCAGCCAAGCCAGATGAAAGCGAAAACTACTTCTCTATACACCTTTGCACCACATGAGCTTTTAAGAAAATGTTGGAGAATCTAATGCGGATGGTGCTTTTGAAGTGGCTTTCCCCACTATTACTAGGTTGCAGAGTTGAACAAATCAAGGTGGAAATATCGTACGCGAGGCCTTCATGTTTTGAATGCAGATGTTTCCTATTTCAAACAGCTTTTGCAAAAGCGCCTTCCACCAGATGTTTAAAAGAGCCAGTTCTCCCTTCCCTCCCGCCCATCTACCTTACGTATTATACTAGCCACAGCCCAGAAATAAATTCCTATTGCAATCTCTCGGGTAGGGAACAATGGCAGACTTACTGCAAGGGGGAAATCACTGTACTTCCTGCTCACCAATACCCCCCTCTCAAAATGGGGTACATGCGCTCTCCAGCACTAAAGAGGGCGGTGAGGCCAGCCTTCTTGTTCCCTCTGGCACATCTTCCGTACACAGTAGAATGCTCTTATGCCAGACTTCAACTTGACAGACATTTGGAGTCTGCATCAGATCCCCCTAGAAAGGGATGGTATAAGGAGGTGTGGGGCATTGCCATGTCTATGTGTTTAGCCAATCAGAAGAGGTCTTTAAGAGGTGTTACAAAACAAGACCATTTTGATATTGTATGGTCTCCAATTACATGCTTTATAAAGATAGTGCATTGCATAGGCCCTATATGGCAAGGCTGTTGTTTAGCTGTTTAGTTGTGGCCGACTCTTCGTGACCCCCTGGACCAGAGCACGCCAGGCACTCCTGTCTTCCACTGCCTCCCGCAGTTTGGTCAAACTCATGTTAGTAGCTTCAAGAACACTGTCCAACCATCTCGTCCTCTGTGTTCCCTTCTCCTTGTGCCCTCCATCTTTCTCAACATCAGGGTCTTCTCCAGGGAGTCTTCTCTTCTCATGAGGTGGCCAAAGTATTGGAGCCTCAGCTTCAGGATCTGTCCTTCCAGTGAGCACTCAGGGCTGATTTCCTTCAGAATGGATTGGTTTGATCTTCTTGCAGTCCATGGGACTCTCAAGAGTCTCCTCCAGCACCAATACGGCAAGGCTACTCCATATCAATATGGGACTCTTACTTCCAAAATGCCCCTTTGCAGATTCTACTGTATTACAAAGCCTGCAAAAGTATACTGAACCTTCTGTTTATTTTCCCCCCAACTGCAATAATGTGCTCCACAGAGACCTCTGTTTTCATTTCTTTGTCTTGTCTGCAGGTTTTTTGAAAACTTAAACACATTTTTTAAACAACAACAAAGATGTTTATTACAGCAGTAAACTGAAAGGAAGAGGGGGAAGAATCTTCAGTTGCAATTTGGAATACTGTTACCTTACAGCAGCTGAGACTGCTGCTGCTAACAGGGCTGGCCATTGCTGTTGGAGGACAGAGCTGTGCAAATGCTGCCCCTCCTTATTCCCCAAAGCAGCCTGCTGTTCTCAGGTGGAGTGGAGGACGCTGTCCCAACTGCTAGTGTTGAAGTAAGTGTCAGCTGTCACTCTGGTCAGGTTTTGAACATAGATGGGGAAGGAGAGGGCCAACTTGCACTTTTATCCCAACTTCATTCCCTCCCTCCTCAGACAGAAGTTTATGAAGAAGTGATTTGGTCTTGTTCATGGCCGTTGTGTTCTCTCTTCCTCCCAGAAGGGAAGGGTGGTGGCGGCAGGAGGCTGTATGTTTTTAAAGTGATATTTCCTTAATAAATGGACATGCAGCAAACGTGTCGGCACTTTAGCATAATACCGATTATACAGAACATTGCATTCGAAGGACCTGATGCATATGTTATGAAGATGGCATGTGCCAGCCAGGAAATCTTGCGGAAAAGGTCCGGATTGCGCAATGATCTTTGGGAAACTATTTCCACACAGCTCGGCACTGCAGCTGTTTCTTTTACAAGAACGAGCCCCATTGAAGAATGCCAATTCTGCTCTGTTCTGCTGGGAGAGCAGGTGACCAACATTCAGTAATAATCAAGCAATAATGGGGTGTGTACAGAATGCAACTCAAGGGGTCCACAAATGGATTTAAAACAGTTTTAATACTTGTAGAAGATGCAAATGCAATGTAAGTCAAGGAGCAAAACATCCACATAGCAGGGTGGTACAAAATCCATGTAGAGCAGCTCAAAAAAACGCACTTCTACAACAGTGATATGGTCTGTTTTTAATTTATTTTTTTAATGCTTTCGGTAACAATTCATTCTTTTAACTCAGCAGACGGGGCAGGTACTAAAAGTTAAAAGGAGAGTCTCTGGGTTACAATTCTCCCAATAATCTCCGATAAACCTCCAATACCATCCAATCTAATTACTGCCTCCGTAGTCAAGACCACTGTGAGCAAGTATCGTGTTCCCATTATTTCCAAGTGTCAGATTTTATTATCATACCAGTAATTATAAGTTCTGTATCTTGTGAGAGAAGAATTGAAGGGTTTGTGTATTGTTACAATACCCTCATTCCCCCACATTAAAATAATAATGGGATAGTAACTTAAATATACAGTAGTCCAAATGTGCAATATACAAGTTTAGAACATTACATTTTATACTTTATATGCATATAATAATATATAATCTATTTTACAAAAATGTTACAGCATTTTCTCCCTCAAAGTATTGCATTTCACATTCTTAACCAAATCTAGACTGTCAAGTAAGCCTGGCTAGAATCCAGTTTTTTAAACAAATAAATATATACAAACACAAAGCAAACAATTCTTTATATATATAAAAAAACCCAAAAGGCACAATCCCAAGGTCTTAAGAAGCCTTTATTTTATGGATATATAAAAATAATAATTTTGTGTGCAAATAAAAATGAAAGGTTGGTTTTGTCATGATATGTTTTTCTAACAATTTGGGTTTTTCTTTTGTTTTTATAGTGATTTTGTAGTGATCAAGGAGAACCCTTTGTGTGATAGGTGAATTTAACGCTTTGAATGCCAGGGCAAAGAAAACATCCAGCAATATCCCTCCCTTGTGAATTTGGCAACTGTGCTATCAAAGTAGTGAATGTCCCAGAAACTTTAAACGGCAAGCTTGCACCTGGGGTGTGCGCAGGGAGAGAAGCATCCCTATGGCCAACTGTGCATATGCCTAGTTTTTGTTTCCAAATAATAATTAGAAAACACCACGAAAACACAAAATGACAGGTAGATATCCAAGACAGTGGAAACTTCCCATGTGCTAGAAGGATTCAGCCACTGTAGATTAGGAGTGAAGTCAGAGGGACCGGCATCTGGTTGGCTGAAGTTGTGAAGGAAGTTTAAGTGGAGCCTAAAAGAAACAGGCAAATAAATAATAATAGTAATAATAATAATAATTTTTTATTTATACCCCGCTCAGGGCTGCTAACACCAGTAAAATTACAATAAAAACATAATGGGGGAGGGGGAGACCAATTTAAAATACAGGTTAAAATACAATTTAAAATGCAGTCTCATTTTAATAGTAGCCCATAGATCAAAACCATAAGGGGAGGGAAACATAAGGGTCAGACTGAGTCCAAACCAAACAGCTCTGTCTTGCAGGCCCTGCGGAAAGATGTCAGGTCCTGCAGGGCCCTAGTCTCTTGTGACAGAGCGTTCCACCATGTCGGGGCCAGTACTGAAAAGGCCCTGACCCTAGTTGAGACCAATCTAACCACCTTGCGACTTGGGACCTCCAAAGTGTTGTCATTTGTGGACCTTAAGGTCCTCCGCGGGGCATACCAGGAGAGGCGGTCCCGTAGGTACGTGGGTCCTAGGCCACATAGGGCTTTAAAGGTCAAAACCAGCACCTTAAACCTGACCCTGTACTCCACTGGGAGCCAGTGCAGTTGGTAAAGCACTGGATGAATGTGATCCCGTGGCAAGGACCCCGTAAGGAGCCATTCTGCACCCGCTGGAATTTCTGGGTCAGCTTCAAGGGCAAGCCCCGCATAGAGCGAGTTACAATAATCAAGCCTGGAGGTGATCGTCACATGGATCACTGTGGCCAGATCAGGGCGAGAAAGGTAAGGGTCTAACTGCTTAATACAGAAGATGGAAAAATGCCACCTTTGCTGTGGCTGCAACCTGTGCCTCCATGGAAAGGGAGGCGTCGGTTACACCCAAGCTCTGAGAGTTCTGTAAACTAGCACTGAAATTCATTTTGCTTATAGTCTTAAATAGACTCCACCCTGCCGGCCCCAATCTCCCAGTTCATTACCATGTGAGGGCTGTCCCTCAATAGATGGGTTCAGGCAACAGCTGCCCTTAAACACAAGAAGCTGAGCATGAACACACAGATGCAGCCTTAAACACAATATGCCAAGCATGCAACCACAAGCTGGGCATGCACACAAGGGCAGTCATCTACTAAAGTACTGTGCCGCCCCTCAACATTTGGAAATGGCAACGTAAGACTATTTTAGCTGCCGATCCTGGCTTCAAAAGGCTTGGAAGGACATGGAGGGGAATGAAGGGAAGGAGGAAGGAAAAAGATATGGGGGTAATTGTAAGCACCCACTCCCCAATAGCTACTCCCAAAGTTCAGTGCGTACATTGTGCATTTGGGAGAAGATGTTGCTGAACCTTACCTTTGTTAGGAAAATCTAACTGCTTGGACCTTTGAAGACAAATCCGTTCTTTGGGCACTGACCTGGCCGATTCATCTGCGTGTACAGATCCATTCTCTGCTGCATACTATAAAAATGACAATTAATATGTGTTGCAAAGGGAACAGTTGTTAACACAAAGCATAGCTTGTAACATCATCCCAGGCTCATTCCATAAAGAGCATAAGGTGCGTCTATTGTCTGCTAGCACTATTACTTGATTCCAAGTGTCTGTTTAACATTTGCAGTTAAGTAAAAGTTGGATTCCAGAGAAGGCTTTCAGCAATCACAAAATGGCAATTGCTATCAAATGTTCACAGTTTTACCCCCCTGCATCCGGTGGGCTTGAATAAAGACCCCAAGGTACACATGGATTTCTATTAATCATGATTATTGTAGAGAAGATTGATTAGATAGCAATCTTTTCCAGATGTGCTTGGTTACTCAGGTCAGGCTCTCAGGATATGCACTTGGGGAAAGGAAAGCCAGCAGAGTTTCAGTGAACAGCCTGTACCGAATTTGAACTTGGAAGTTCAGGGACCTCAGGAGTCGCAGCCTAACTGGGTACTGGAATATTCCCCAAAAGACTTCGGGTTTGGTTTGGCTTCCATTTCAATACCTTCTTCTGTCCTCATCCTTGTCTCAGCCAGAACATTTTCCAGGATCACAAACCAGCTCCTTGCCCAGTGCTCAAGAACTACTACAGCTCCACCATCACATGAGCCTCCATTCCTCCAATATGCTGAGCTTCTGGACTTCCTTTTCCTTTATGCGGCTCTCTGGGGCTCATCCGCTCTAACCCTGCTAGGCTCCATTAAATTTCCAAGGGGAATGCCCATGGCACATGCCCCCCCCCCGTCACTGCCAGACTGGCTGCCAACACACAGAGTAAATATTCAGATATTCCCCGCTAGGCGGCTCCAAAAGTCCATTTACTAAATAGTATGGGGGTAGTCCAGTGTTTCCCAATTGTAGTATTTTGGACTACAATTCCCACCATCCCTGACCAGTGGTCCTTGGTAGCTAGGGATGATGGGAGCTGTAGTCCAAAACCAGCTGGAGACCCAAGTCTGGGAAACAGTACAGTAGCCAATCCACTGCATCAGCTTTACTCAGCATGGTCAGTGGTTGGGGTTGATGGGAGTTACAGAACAGAACATCTGGAGGACCATACTGGCTACCCTTGCTTTAGTGCAATGCACCCTTGTACATAATTTCTGACCACTTACAGGTGCACTGTACTCTTATATATGTCTGATTGAGTTATCTGGGACATACGCTCGGGTAAGTGTGCGTGTACAGCAATCTTTCTCCAAACTTGGGTTCCCAGATATTAAGGGACTACAGCTTCCCTCATCCTCGGCAATAGGGTTCTGGCTAGTTGTTATGATGTGGGGTCAACAACATCTGGAGACCCACAGTTTTAGGAAATGCCAGTGCAAAAGATTGCAACCTTAGTCTATCCCCCCCCCCAAAAAAGTGTCAACTAATTTCTGGAGCTCATTTACTAACTTTGCCTCATTGAAAGAGACTCGCTTCCAGCAGTGGCTCCTATAAACCAGGACATCTCTCCAAGACATTAGCTTGGATCCCAACTTCCCTTCCATGAATGAAGAGAGCCCATGGAGCAGAATTCTCCCCTGCTTCCTTTTGTAGCTCCCTGAAAACCTGCTCTTAAGGATTGAGCAGCCCTTTGGGGGTACTGTAAGGAGGAGATGCAGCAGATCAAGGAGGGAGTTGACAGAAATCACACACACACACACACACCCACACACACACACCCACCCTTTCCTTGCACGAACAAGAAAGCCACTTAGGATCCAAGTCAGCGTTATTTCAAGAAAGGTCAACATCCTTTCCAACCGGTAAAACATTTCACACAGGTGACAAGTCCAAACTCACTCTCCCTACCCGTAACACAACAGCAGCAATCCGTAATGCATCCTGATCAGTGATAAGAAACAGCTTGTTTTGCTGCAACATAGCATGTTCATAGCTTGCTATATTCCGCTACAAAAGAAGTCTGCCCCTCACTCTCTCTTTTTTGGCGTTTTGCTTACCTAGGGTAATATGCTGTGTAATTCATAAAGAGCTGAGTGCCAGCTGGATAATATGCTGTAGAAGGCTGAAGTGTCCGTGGGTTGAGGAGCATGGAGGGTTGGTAGAGTGCCGCATCCGTCGGGATAACTGCCGCAGGAGCAGGGAAGGAGTAGGAAGAAGGAGACATGCCTAAACGACAGAACAAGACAGAGATGAAGAAGGTCAGTGCTTCTGCGCGCAACCTTTTTTAAAAGCACAAAGCATGATTAAGGCCAGGCTACACTCCCGATCCAGGTGGTCATTTCACAGCAGAAAGATGCAATTATACCACAAGCTATATTTTGCCCTCACACTTCTAGGAGGTAAAGGTAAAGGACCCCTAGACGGTTAAGTCCAGTCAAAGGAGACTATGGGGTTGTGGCACTCATCTCGCTTTCAGGCCGAGGGAGCCAGTGTTTGTCCACAGACAGCTTTCTGGGTCATGTGGCTGGCATGACTGAACCACTTCTGGTGCAACGGGACACCGTGACAGAAACCAGAGTGCACGGAAACACCGTTTACCTTCCTGCCGCAGCGGTACCTATTTATCTACTTGCACTGGCATGTTTTCAAACTGCTAAGGTTGGCAGAAGCTGGGACTCCGTTGCAGGGATTCGAACCACTGACCTTTTGATTGGCAAGGCCAAGAGGCTCAGTGGTTTAGACCACAGCGCCACCCACATCCTGCTACACTTCTGGGAAAAGCTACACTAATTGACACATACACAAAAAGGCCATACTTCTTGTTGACCACTGTTCTTAATCTGTTGAGTTACATTGCGGCCTTCATTGGAAAGAAGTATTCAGATCCAAAAATCTAAAAAAACAATTTAACCAATCACACACTCAAAGAGGGTGCAGAGATGGTGAGAGGTGTGGCCTAGGGAGAATCCTGCCTGATCATTTAGTGCAGGTTTTCTTCCAAATGTTTGGGATTATAAACTCCCATCATCTGACCACTAGTAGTCATGGTGGTTGGTGCTATTTTTGATTAGATTAGTTTAGAATGCTGCATGAACCCTAAACTGTGACTGAACTTAAAACCGTGGTTAGCAAAAACTAGAGAGTTTCACAAACTATGGTTTGGAGATTTATTTCTACTAACCAGTTAAGTTTAACCAGATGGCAAGGCAGCCTGTGGTTGGTAAAATGGAAGTGAGATCTTCCAGACTCCCCCCTGTGGCTATGTGAGCTGAGGGGAGAGCATGGAAGCCCAAGGAGTGGTAGGTTTGTTCTCATAGTGCTGAACCACGGTTTAGCATTACAACCAAACTAGCCCCTGTGAACGCCAACTTTATACATAAAGAAAGATTACTCAAAGAGTTCTTCTGTCTGAACACTGGTCTGCCTCCAAGATCTTATTGCACGTTTAGTTTGGGCTATTCCTAAATCAGACACAAACCTAAGTAGCTGACATGTTGGGAATTTGGGACCAAACACTGACCCAAACTACACCCATTTGAAGTGGATGTTATCTCATGTCAAGCTGCAGCATTAGTAGAAGATACACAATATAGAAAAAGGAGCTCTGTCTGCACAATGAGGATGGAAAATATGTTCCTCCTTCCTCTTCCAGACTTAATGCCTTCCTTGTTTTTGAGACTGCAGATACTGAAGTATGGAGTGTTTAACTTCTAAAAGGAAGAATGTGTTTTCAAAGCTCTCCACCCTGCTATTAACGTTTACACTCTGTTTTAAGGCCCTGGCAGAACCCCCAAGGCAGCTTATAGAAATTAAAATTCCATATATAACATTAAAACCCATAATAATAAAGCCAAACCAATAAAAATGGAAGTACTGCACAATTCACCAGTATCCAACAAACATAGGAAGCTGCCTTATAATGAGTCAAACCATTGGCTACATCTAGCTGAGTACTGGCTGTCAACACTGACAGCCAGTGACTTTCCAAGGTTTCAGGCAGACGTCTCTCCCAGGCCTACCTGGATATGCCAGGGATTGAACCTGAGGCCTTCTGCACACCAAGCAGGTGCTCTGCCACTGAGCTACAACCTTTGCATGTCAACACAACCAGCTACTCCAATTACTTTATAAAAGAGCCAAGTCTTAACTGACCTCCTGAAAGCTAAGAGAGCACAAGCTGATAAGCTTCCCTTGGACAAGAATCCTGAAAAGAGAATGCTGCCCTCGAGGTGGCTTTTGAGATGCAAAATAATTTGTGGAGCTGTAGCTGCGTTAGCTTCTTACAGCAAAAACGAAGTGGGCTTGAGTCCACAAAAGCTGAGGCCATTACAAATTTGGCTAGTCTTCCTCCCAGAACTACCAGGTGATCCTAGTTACCCACTGAAGTTACCTGACAAATCATTTCACAAGCCACACACACTTGACCTGTGCAAGCTTCTTTCCTGCCTTAAAGACATTCTGCATTCTCAGTTCCAGCAGAGAGCCTCCCCCCTCCCCAAGCAGGTGACACTCAACTTCACTCTGGCCAAAGCGGGTGGGGGAGAGGGGGATGGGAACAAAGAAACAAAGAAAGAAACTGGACATATTTCACCCTGCAGATGCTACTTTATTGGCGAGAGTAAGCCTCATTGAGCTCAGTAGGGCTTACATCTGAGCAGGCAGGCATAACAATACAGTCGTACCTTGGTTTTCGAACAGCTTAGCTCCCAAACGCCACAAACCCGGAAGTGAGTGTTCCGGTTTGTGAACTATTTTTGGAAGCTGAACATCCGACCTGGCTTCTGACTGGCTTCTGTGGCCAATCAGAAGCCACACTTTGGTTTCTGAACATTTTGGAAGTCAAATAGATTTCCAGAATGGATTCCGTTTGACTTGAAGGTACAACTGTATACTGTACAGCAGGGGTAGCAAATATGGTATCCCCTCCAGATGTTGCTGAAATACAACTCGCATCATTCCCTGACCATTGGTCAGATTGCCTGGGGCAATGGGAGTTGTGGTCCATCAACTTCTGGAAGACACCATGTTTGCCATCCCTGCTGTAATTACTAGTTTTAATTCAACTTAACTGGCATTTCCTTGCTAGGTGAGAAAAGAGTTTGCCCTATGCAAATTTCTCCCCCGGCCCAGACCACTCCCCGAATCCCTAGAGGATCTGTGGCATATCTTTCTGGCATCAGTTTTTGTGATGACACCTGTGCCCTCGCTCTCTTGGCAGTTTGCATCCTCAGTGGAGAAGGGGTGGAGGAGACACTGCACAAGGAGGAAGGGGCCCTTCCTGCTCCCCAGTGTCCCACTCAGCTTCTTTCTCTCACTACTGATGGTTAGGAGTTAAGGGTACAGAAGGCTTTCAGGTAATAAAATCAAACAGGAAGGAAGAAGCCTGCAGGGGCAACAGATCTACTGAGGGCTGGATCAGACCCAAGGCATTTGGAGTCCATCTCCTCCCCAAGTAACTCCCTAGTGACGATCACGAGCTGGTCAAATGGGACTTAAGCAAAACAAGCAAATAGACCCAGTATTGCTGGATTTAGCCAGGTTCCAAATCTGGATTTCTTATGACAGAGCTTTTTCGCTTTATGTTTTACTTTGCAGAGCAATCAGAAGCTAGTCCAAGATCAACCGATCAATACACCTGGGAGACATTTACCAGGCGCAACTACTCTGTGAATGTGAACAGAGGGAGAAATATTGGACTAAACTCAACTTGGAAGCTTCTCACTGGCCATTGATAGTGGAATAACCAGGCTTTGTTCACTCATTTCTGAATGGGGCATCTAATCGACATAGTGATTAGAACAGGGGTCAGCAAACTTTTTCAGCAGGGGGCTGGTCCACTGTCCCTCAGACCTTGTTGGGGGCCTGACTATATTTTGAAAAAACAACAACGAAGGAATTCCTATGCCCCACAAATAACCCAGAGATGCACTTTAAATAAAAGGACACATTCTACTCATGTAAAAACACGCTGATTCCCAGACCATCCGTGGGCCGGATTTAGAAGGCGATTGGGCCGGATCCGGAGCGCAGAGAGAAGGGAGGATTTCTCTCTCCCCACCCCCTGTACTCAATGGTCCCAATGAAAGTCACCACACCTGAAAGTCATTTGGGACTGAGGAACTGCCCACTTGGGTACCATTTGGATTCTGGAAGCTAAGATGCTATTCCACTTTCAGCCTGATGTAGAACAGTTATGATCAGATGTGACTAGCGGCAAATCTCCCATGTCACTAGGAAGCACTCCTGGACTCCATGTTAAATTAACCACCTCTCTCACCCAGGCTGTGACTATTGAAAATAGTCTCCTATACCTTCTGAGGTTCTTAAGCGTAAATATACTGAAATATACATACTTGTAGTAATTTACTATGTCAGCCAGAATACATAGGTCTCATCCATCTGAGCAAAAAGCTCTTTGTTCCCTAACAACCCATCATTTTGGCTAACTTTGGTGTAACGAAATGCCCCATACATGCTCCTCTGCATTTCCAGGCACCCATATTTGATATTGGCTTCTGCTGCCAGTCAGTTTAAAACAGGAGTCGGCAAGGCTTACCAGGCATGCGCCGGATCGCTCCCGCAGAGATCCTCTTTGGGCCTGACCAGAGCAGCATGACGCTGGAAATCGCGTCTGCACATGCCCAGATGCTGAAAATCGCACCTGCGCAGAAACGATTTTTGTGCGTCTGGGCACGTGCAGAAGTGATTTCCAGTGCCACAGACATGCGCAGACGCGATTTCCAGAGCCGCGGAAGAGAGTCCCCGCACCGCACTTCACCGATTTAGCACAGCACATGGGGACTCACCGAGTGGGTGGCTCATTTCAGGGGCGGCTCGTGGGCCACTTCCGGCCCACGAGCCGCTGGTTGGGGACCCCTGGTTTAAAACATGATCCTGCAATTCTGAGCTGAAGTGCTCCAAATCAACACTTGCCCAGTGCAAATTACACTCCAGAAGGTGTGGGTCAGCAGAAAAGCAAGAGTAAAGAAGCCAATTACTATCCAAATCACAGTAGTCCACAGCCAAAAGGGAGAACAAAAATCAAAGGCTGATACCGATTTCAGATGGGAAAAGCTTTGCATTCCAGACCCCACAGACACGCTGATCCCTTCCAAGAGAGGAACACAAAAACAGAATGGGTGAAAGGAAGCTCCAACACCTACCAGCGTACAGCAGAAAGTAGCGCCAAGACCCAAGCTAAACTTACATGGTAACTTACATGGTGGTGGGGATAAGCCATTTCGATTTAAAGTGCCCCCCATTAACACAAAGTTCATCTCCTCTGCAGAACACTGAAAGACTTCGACATATCTGTCCTTCATGGTTTTCTTATGGCACTTCTGAGCAGCCATAAATGCTCGGTCTGAAGATTTCATCTGGATAAAAGCGTCTCCGGAGGGACGACCCTAAGAGGGGAAAAGGAGAAAGGTGAGAGGCTGCAGCATCAAGACTAAAGGATTTACTCAATTTTTTAAAGAAAAAAACATCCGTGATGATAGCTCTTCTAAGTTTCACCTAGCAGCCGTTATGGTGGAAGAAAGGTATAGCTTTTATCCCTTGCTGTAAAGCAGCAATATGCCTGTTGGGCAACAGTCCGACAGAGTTCCTATGTACCAGGAAGTTATTTTGAAGAGCACAGATTAAAACAGTTCATGTTACATCCTAGGATAAATAATTGCAGGACATCTTTCCGAGCCAGGCTTGTAGTCAATGTGACACCCAAACCCATTTCTACATCGACAAGCAGTAGCCAGGAAACATCGCTGGCCGTTGCTAGGCACCCGAGAAAGCAAGTCAACTGTACAACTCCATCCCATAATCATGCGACCAGTGAAGAGCAGCTGTGGCACAACCAGGGGCTGCAGGAATAGTGCCCGGTTAGCATCATAACGAGGTGGGAGGTACAAATTTTGACGTGCCCATGAATCCTGCCTCAAGGACTGCCTCTTTCCATATGAACCTACCCGGACCCTGAGATCATCTTCTGAGGCCCTCCTTCATGTGCCCCCTCCTCAAGAGGTTCAGAGGGTGGCAACATGAGAACGGGCCTTCTCACAGCGGGAAGACTGCTATTAGCTAAAAATTGGAAATCTCAAGAAATGCCAACGGTAGAAGAATGGCAGATGAAGATGCTGGAGTTTTTGGAGCTGGCAGACCTGACTGGAAGAATCTGCGATCAGAAAGAAGAGGAATACCAAGGAGACTGGAAGAAATTTAAAGACTATTTAGTTAAATATTGTAATATAAGATAAGTAGAAAATACTTGAAAGTACCAAACAGGCCGAGGATTAGAATAAGAATGTTGTATATTAATGTGGAGCTAAGTCAATAAGAAAAGAGATGAAGATAGTGAATCGAAGGAGTTAATTGCAGTAGTAAGATGATTTTGGAGAACTGTTACAAGGTGATACAATGAAATTCAGTTAGAGGGGATTTGAGGAAGTCAGTTAACAATGAAATTTAAAATGAACTTTTGAAAGACTATGTGTTTCTATTTTTGTTATTTTCTTTCTTTCTTGTAGTATTGTAGTGTGTTTTCTTTTGTATGATTTATATGTTTTATCTGTTAAATTAAAAAAAATGGGGGGAGGGGGGAGAACGGGCCTTCTCTGCAGTGGCTCCCCGTCTGTGGAATGCTCTCCCCAGGGAAGTTCACCTGGCGCCTTCATTATACACCTTTAAGCGCCAGGCAAAAACGTTCCTTTTTAGTTCAATAAATAAATAAAATAATAATAATAATAATAATAATAATAATAATAATAATACATAGGAGCCGCGAGCCATGGCAGAGTTCACCACTATTTAGTTCTCTGAGGACAGCCCTTTATAAAAGCCAAGAACACACAGGAAGGGGGTTCTATACAGCAGCAGTGGGGAACTGGAAGCCTCAGTGCACAGTGCTTTGCAAGCCGCCGCTCCCCTGCATCAGCTGATCATCAGCATCTGCAAACCCCCTATTTGGCTCGGTCACACATCTTCCAAACTTATAGGCATAGGGAGGTGAGAGTGGCTTGGCTGAAATGGCCTCAAAGAGCACCAAGTGGAGATCAGGCCTGGCGGGCCTGATTAGGCTAGAGGCTCCGCACTGCTACTGCGCCCTTGGGATTGTCCTCTCCACTTACCTGGTGATTTAATACCATGTGAACCCCATGAGTCCTGATATCTCCAGAGAACTCCCCTAAGAATCCCAGAATGTCTTCTATAGTGGCGGCATACGGAAGCCCCCGCAGCCGTATGCAGTCTCTGACGTTGGTGGGAGGTACAAATTGCTGAGGTAGTACGGGAAGGATGGGCGGAGCGGGGAGAGGAATGAGAGGCACAGACGAGTATCTGTTCAGTACCTGCAATAAAATAAAATAAAATAAAATAAAAATATGTTAACAGCCGAGTGGCTTCCTTGTATTTCGGACTATAGCCTGCACCGTCACATCGTATTTTGTTAGCATTGTTAAGTTCCCATTTAACTAAAAGCAAAGTAAGACAGCTCATGCCTGATCATTCCTCTAAGTAGGCAGCTGGTGTATGGGGTACAAAGAGGCCAAGAGAAAAAAGAAGAGGTGGGTTCTTACTGGCAGGAGGAATCCCAAGGCACACCAGAAGATCCTGTACTCTTGAATGCAGCAGCTAGACTGGTGACTGGGAATGGCCACCGAGATCATATAACACCAGTCCTGAAAGACCTACATTGGGCTCCCAGTACGTTTCCGAGCACAACTCAAAGTGTTGGTGCTGACCTTGAAAGCCCTAAATGGCCTTGGCCCAGTATACCAGAAGGAGAGTCTCCACCCCCACTGAGGTCCAGCACCAAGGGCCTTCTGGAGGTTCCCTCGCTGCAAGAAGTGAGCTTACAGGGAACCAGGCAGAGGGCCTTCTTGGTAGTGGTGCCCGCCCTGTGGAACACCCTCCCATTAGATGTCAAGGAAATCAACAACTATCTGACTTTTAGCAGACATCTGAAGGCAGCCCTGTTTAGGGAATTCTTAAATGTTTGGTGTTTTATTGTGTTTTTAATATTCTGTTGAGAGCCGCCCAGAGCGGCTGGGGAAACCCAGCCAGATGGGCGGGGTGTAAATAATAAATTATGATTATGAAAGGACTCTTCCATTTGTGAATTGGCAGGAGGTAAAGGCTGCATCCCCAAATGCTGACAGCAGAGAGCAGCACAGAGGCATCAAACTCTCGGCCCACCCGAGTTAGGCCTGCCATTTGAGACAGTAGCCTGGCGAAGGTTTTATACTGCTGCTTTTTAACTGCCGACTGTAGTACTAGTAGATGAGCGTTTAAATTTGTGTTCATGTGATTTTATTGGTGTGAACCGCCCTGGGCTCCCTTTAGGGCGGAAGGGCAAACTATACATTTGCACGCAATAATGATCTGCCTCATCCTTCCAGCATGAGGCCATATAAGAATAATAACAACCATTTTATTATTTATAAATATTATGGCTGTGTGTGTGTGTGTGTGTGTTTGTACCCTGACTTTTCCCACTGACAGCAACTCAAGGTGGCTTGCAGATAAAATTAGAAGAGCTAAAAACATTAGGGAGGAGGGAATAAATAAAAACCAGTTAAACATTAATATAAATAAAAACCAGTAAAACATTAATATTAAGATAATAACAATAGAAGCTGCACAGCACCAGCCCTTTCATTAAGCCCGGCCTTGGCTGGGGAGGGCGGGGTATAAATAATTTTTTTTTTATTATTATTATTATTAAAAGCAGTCTGCTCCCAAAAGCCTTAGGAATAAGTCGGTCCTCACCTGCTGGCTGAAGGCAACAAGGAAGGAGCCAGCCTAACTTCTCTAGGGAGGGAGTTCCAAAGTCGAGGAGCAGCCACCGAGAAGACCCTCCCCTGCATCCCTACCAAGGATGCTTGTGAGGGTGGGGGGTCCCAAAGGGGACAAAGGAAGGGTGGCAAGGAGGGACTGGGCTTGGTGAACCATCAGGCAAGCATTCTACAGGCTCACCAACAGCACCAGACCTTGTAAACTGTAAAAGAGGAATGGCTCCCTGGCAATTTTAAAAGTTTGCAAGGATGGTAGTGGAATTGGCCTCTGAAAAATGCTCTGCTGTGATCCACTGCACTCCAACCGTAACATTCCCGCTCCCATTTGTTAGAATGAAAACAGAAAGGGACTACTGAATGAGTTACTGGTACACTACAAACACACTTTCCAGTCATCACTTTTGTAATTCTACATTCTTGGATCATGCGTCTTCTCTCAAGCTACAGCCCATTGGCTCAGAGATGTTGCAGCCGGGATCTGAATGCGCAATTCTCAGCAAGACTTAAAAGCTGACATCGTCATTTATTATTTGTACCCTGTCCATCTAACTGGGTTGCCCCAGCCACCCTGGGCAGCTTCCAACATATTATATATAAATAAAACATTAAACATTAAAAAGCTTCCCTGCCTTCAGATGTCTTCTGCAGGCTATATAGTTACTCATCTCCTGAATACCTCTTGACAGTTGAAGCTCAGAAATACCCAATCAAACAATGTAGAAATTTTATGAAATAAAACAGTATATAATCTTGTATTGGCCCTGGACCCAACACTGAATGGACTCCTGCTATAACTTCCTCTGTCCCACAAAACTTCCGTTTCCCAACAGATTCCTTTTATGACATTAAATCAAGTCCTTAACTCACCTGCTGGACCTCAGCAGCTGTACTCCTGAAGAGCTCTATGTACCTTTTGCCCAACAAGTCCTTGTGTTTCTTTAGCGCATTCTGTGCATATTCCTCACAGGCAAACAACACAAACGCATCCCCTGTCGGCCTACTGTCAGGATACGTCACGAAAAGGATCCCTTCTTTTCCACCCGTCACGGGACAGTGCTGACCAAAGAATGCCAACACTTCATCGGTGGTGACGTTGAACGGGAGGCCGCGCATACGAAGGATCACTTGGTTCTCTTTCGAAAGGAACTGAGCCACTTCATTGGACGTGCCTTGAAGAACCAAGGAAGTTAGAAGTTGAGATAGTTGTTCGTTTCCCACAGTTATGACAAGAGTAAAATGGCTCAGGATCGCAATACCTCAAGGACCGCCTTGTTCCATATGAACCTCCCCGGACCCTGAGATCATCTTCTGAGGCCCTCCCTCGTGTGCCTTCTCCTCGAGAGGTCTGGAGGGTGGCAACACGAGAACGGGCCTTCTCTGCGGTGGCTCCTCATCAGTGGAATGCTCTCCCCAGGGAGGTTCGCCTGGCGCCTTCATTAGACACCTTTAGGCGCCAGGCAAAAACATTGCTTTTTAACCAGGCCTTTGGTTGACCTGATAGACATCCTATACCCTTTTAAAATGTGGCTCTTTGCGGGGGGTGTTATTTGGGTTCTTGCTTTTATTTTGATTTTATATATTGTGATCTTTTCTGTGAACTGCCCTTAAACTTCCGGGTATAGGGCGGTATATAAATTAAATCAATCAATAATGTAATGTCGCAACTCCTCTCCCTGTGTGGCCTGTGCTCATTTCAAGAAGACTCACATCTACAACGTACATTTAAAGCACTCCAGTGCCACTTTACCTGACAGGAAGAATCATGGGAACTGTAGGTTGTAAAGATGCTGGGAACTGTAGCTCTGTGAGGGAACAGTTCCCAGCATTCTTTAAGACTGGGAGAAGAGTGCCCTTCAATGTATACAGTGGGTGGAAGTTTCTTTACTTCTATGCAAGAGCCAGAAATACCACCACATGGGACACACCCCAACAAGTCTGGCAATGAAATTCCTTTAGCTGTTTGCGAGGTCCACCCTTACCTGAGGCAACGTGAGGGATTTGTTTAGTTTTTCGGAGCCTGCACACAACTAGTGCTTTTGAAATGCTAAGCTTCCAAATCTAGAAGCTATTTTTATGGCCCTATCAGTGTACGGAGTGCCTTATAAATGCAAGGGGACTGGCCTTTCCCCCCAAAGAGTCTACAATCCCCCCCCTTATTTTTGGTGGTTTTTTTTTTTGCCTATTAGCAATGCCAGGTACAAGGCTGCTTGGGAATTCGAAGAAGATGAAGAAAGAACCCAGTGCCATTTTGAAATCAGGTGGCTAGAATCAGTGCTGTTTTGAAAGGTTCGCTCAGCCACTGCAACGTGAAACGGTGTCCTGTTGCATCCAAGTGTGGATGAAAACCTGCTCCTTGATCTCAGGAACCACCTCACAAAATTTGGTTGCGTTATCTTCAAAGGTTTCCAAATTCAAACAAGCAACTTTTTGAAATATGCAGCAGATCAGCAGGTGGGGAGTTTCCCATAAAGATTGTTGCAGTTACGGTATTTTTTCTATAATTAGTCAGCATTCTGAATGGCAGCTAGTCCCTCCTGCCTCCCCCAATTGTGGGTGTGTGGAAATCTTGTTACTTTTAAGAATGCTAACTATTCGTGCCAAGGAGCTTTGAGAATGCACCATAGATCAGGGGCAGAGCACGCAATCTGCAGACAGAAGGTCCTCAGTCAAGTCTCTAGGTACAACGCAACCCCCAGGATGGCCAAAGGTCAAAGATGAGGGGAGCTGTACTCCAGCAACATCTGCAGGGCCACAGGCTCCACATCCCCGCTCTACGCAACAGATGAGCCAACAGCCTGTTTTGGCACAGCCCTTCATCTACAAAGACATAAGGCTATAGTGACATGATCAAAGGCTATAATAGCATGACCACACCCAGATAAAATCTTGCAAAACTGGGCCTGCACCAGAACTTTCTCTCAACAGCAGGAAGCAGACCTTTTTCTCGTAAATCACGCTGCTGCACAAGCCATATCCAAGTAGCATTCAGCGGCACCTAAAAGCTTATTGCACCTAACTCCATAGTGAAGCAATTTCTGTAACCTCCGATGATGTGGGAAGCTCCGTATTATCAGATCCTTCACTTTGCCTTCCCCCAGTATCCAAACAGCTGCAAGGTCATGGCAAATACAGGCCTGCCACGTGAAGGTCTGCAGGTCCACACTTTTAACTGACTCCCTATTCTCTGGTGGCTCCTTCTGGCTTCAACATTCAATAAAAAGCATCTGCAATGGGGAACCTGCTGCACCCATGTTCGCTCCCTGGGTGATCGGGGTTCCAAATTATGCAGGGAGCTTAGAAAAAGTACAGTCAGAGTTGCATGACAGTGGCAGGGCTAGGAGAGCTTGCGGCACAGCCGCTTCATACTTTCAACTGAATAGTTCTGCATTAAGGCCCAGTTCATACATTAATGTTATACAATGCAAGTCCCATCTACACTGCACTGGTAGCGTCTGAATAGCTGAGACCTTCGTGGCTGCTCTCTCCACACCCAATTTTATGCCAGTCTATTATTATTTTTAATAATAATATACCGCCCTTCATCTGAAGATTAAAGAGTGATTTACAGCATGTAAACAGAAAATACTTAACAAAACAACAAGCAAGCAATAATTCCCCACAATACCCCCCCCATAAACCCACACAGAAACAGTGGTACCTTGGGTTACAAACTTAATTCGTTCCGGAGGTCCGTTGTTAACCCGCAACCGTTCTTAACCTAAGGTGCACTTTCATTAATGGGGCCTCCCGCTGCCACCGGCGCGCGATTTCCGTTCTCATCCTGGGGCAAAGTTCTCAACCCGAGGTACTACTTCCGGGTTAGCGGAGTTCGTAACCCAAAGTGTTTGTAACCCGAGGTACCACTGTATTACATCGGCCAGTGTGCCATAAGTGTCCCATTCTTTTTGAAGCCACATTACTATAGGTAAAATGGTAAAGGACCCCTGGACAGTTAAGTCAGTCAAAGGCGACTATGAGGTTGCAGTGCTCATCTTGCTTTCAGGCCGAGGGAGCTGGCGTTTGTCCACAGACAAACCCACACAGAAACAGTGGTACCTTGGGTTACAAACTTAATTCGTTCCGGAGGTCCGTTGTTAACCCGCAACCGTTCTTAACCTAAGGTGCACTTTCATTAATGGGGCCTCCCACTGCCACCGGCGCACGATTTCCGTTCTCATCCTGGGGCAAAGTTCTCAACCCGAGGTACTACTTCCGGGTTAGTGGAGTTCGTAACCCAAAGTGTTTGTAACCCGAGGTACCACTGTATTACATCGGCCAGTGTGCCATAAGTGTCCCATTCTTTTTGAAGCCACATTACTATAGGTAAAATGGTAAAGGACCCCTGGACAGTTAAGTCAGTCAAAGGCGACTATGAGGTTGCAGTGCTCATCTTGCTTTCAGGCCGAGGGAGCTGGCGTTTGTCCACAGACAGCTTTCCGGGTCATGTGGCCAGCATGAATAAACCGCTTCTGGCGCAACAGAACACCTTGATGGAAACCAGAGCACATGGAAACGCCATTTACCTTCCTGCCGCAGTGGTACCTATTTATCTACTCACGCTGGTATGCTTTTGAATTGCTAGATTGGCAGGAACTGGGACAGAGCGACGGGAGCTCACTTCGTCATGCAGATTCGAACCACTGACCTTACAATTGGCAAGCCCAAGAGGCTTGGTGGTTTAGACCACAGTGCCACCGCGGCCCTGGAACATTACCTTACTGCACATTCTCAAAATATGACTGGTGCCCTCTGGATCAGTGCCAAGTTATATAAAATGCACCTCCTTGTACGTCCAAAGAGAGAATACCTGATCTGAGGGAGCAGGGAGGCTGTCACTCAGACCACTCTGGAAGCTTAATGGCAGAGGGATTTGGCTGGATAGACAAAACGTTCAGCTCCATAGGACAGTTTCATTTGACCATGTAATAACATGCTAGATAGCCCATGTGACATAGCAGTTGGGAGTGTAAGACCAGGGTTCAAATTCCTACTCAGCCATGCAGCTCACACCTTGAGCCAGTCACAGCCTCTCAGCCTAACAGACCTCACAGGGTCAGTGTGAGGATGACAAGGAGGGGGACAACCATGTATGCTACCTGGAGCTCCTTGGAGGAAAAGGTGGGATATAAATGCAATAAATAAACAAAGCAAAAAACATTTATATACTGCTTTATATCATAAAATGTCAAAGCAGTGTACAGAATAGTAAATTCATACTTTAAAACCCTACCATAAAAAAACACCCACCACCAGATTAAAGAACAATTACCTCCAGCAATTTTCAAGAAGTCCTCCCCAGTCGCTTTGTACACCTGAGAAAGGGAAAGGGAAATGATTATGCCTGGAGAAGCCCTCCGTACCATTTAATCCAAACACCGATTTTGGAGCTTGAGCAACATACCTCAATGTACCGGTTCCCCATGTGATGCTTGTGTCTTTGCAACGCCAGATCTCGGTGCTCCTCGCTGACAAACCTGACAAGAGCTTCTCCATTCCTCCTGCCTTGGGCGTTGAGGCAAAGTGCGGCCCCTCCTCTAAAGAGTTAAGGCAGCAAACAGAGGCAGCCGTAAGCCACACAAAGCGTTATGTCTCACCTTGCAAAACCAGCACTTACATAAATCAAAGGCAAGCAGCACTGGGTGTTCTTAGGTGCATTCACACCTCCCTTTTGAAAGCAGGAGTAGCTACTTGCATGTGAACCTCAGCAGCAAAGTCCTTCACTTCTGAAATGTTCCCACTACTGGCATTTTAAAAATATGCAGTATTTATTTATTTTTTAAGCACTTTTTTAATCAAAGCAAGAAGGTTACATAATTGTATACAGACTGAGGATTCAGCTACTCACTCCTGCTATAGAATAGGGGTTCTCTTACTGCAGAGTTTTAAAAAAATAATTAATTCAAGGAAGTACAGGCAAGGATATTTTTTATTCATGCATATGAAATATGGGAATATGAAAAGAGGATGTCTGAGAAGGGTCCGCCAAACATTCCTGCCAGCCCCACACCAGATGTCAGGTAAAGAGGTCTTTGCAAAGGAACAAACAGGAGGCTAAAGTGCTGTTCATTCAAACTGGCTCTGCGACAGACATTTTCCCTCTCTGCACATAACTTTGCTCACAGCTGTGGTCTGAATGCAAACCGCACTTGCGAAAAGGCAAAGCAGGGCTTGCTGTCCGTGCCAATCAGATGACAGCAAGCCCATCTGAAGTTGTCAACTGTTATGATAGAATCAAGTGACTGGCAACAGTTGGGCCACAGGTTCAGTGGGAGTAATAGTCCACCAACATCTGGAGGGCCATAAGCTGACCACCTTTGCATCCATGCCAATTTCAGATAGTCCAGAAAAAGACATTAAAGTCCATTTTTTCAAACAGAAAGCAAACTATTTTAGCTGTGGTTTTGCTGCGTTGTGATTGTATTTTACCTGGTTTTTAACTCAGCTGCTGGGCAACTTAGGAAATAAAAAAAAATAAGATAAAGGATCCACAAATGCACTCACTGGCAAGTGCCTCTTTTCTTCTGGCAAGAACAGGGGATGAAGGAGAGCCCCTGCCTTTCACCTAGGCCCAGGGAGGCTCTGTTCCTTCACTGAGCCTTGGAGACATTTCAAAAGCCATGAATTTCCCCACTGCTTCCTGAGTGCCAAAGGCAGGTGTGCAGAAGCTTTTGCCTGCCAGATGTTGCTGAACTACAACTCCCATTAACCTCAGCAAGCATGTCCAGTCCCCACATTTGGTCTAAGGCTTAGGGCAAGGGAGGTAAATTTCCAGGCCTCTTTCTTAGCCATGAGCCGGGGAGCAGGGTCTCACCCCTACAATAGTTGCATTTAGCCTTCATTGTATTTAGCAGGGTCATGCCAAATACAAATTTCAGTTGGTCGCCAAGGGCAGCCAATACGCCAACTCCAGGAAACAGTTTGAGAACATGGCTGAAAATAACAAACGTTACTAAATGAGAGAACTAACTTGGCAATATTAAGGCCTTTGAAGAACCTAGCAATGTCCTGGTCCGATGACTGCCATGGTAAGCCTCTTGCTCGGATTATGGTGTTATCATCTACAAGTTCCATCTTGCTGCTGCAGATCAAGCAGAAGGATATATATTTAAAATTTGCCTATCATCATGAACCATGACTAGAGCAAAGGATATCTTCTATAGGCTCACATCCCACATTCTTCAACATGCTTTCGCAACAAGTCAGGGAGAGACTTATCCCCCCCCCGCCCCCCCCAAAGAGAATCTCAACCAGTTTTGAAATTATGGGCCTGTCCTCCAATATGCTGTAATCTTCAAAAATTGAAGTAGAGGAAAAAACCAAGAGCCAATGTTGTCACCAATAGGCTGCAGATGTTTTGAATAGGCTATCTGTGGCAGTCTTGCTGCTTTGTCTCTTTCCTACCTTATCATTTTTATATTGTAAGCTCCTTGCAGGTAGTGAAATGTATTTAAGGCTATGGGTTGTAGTAAACTCACATTTACTCAGAGTAGACCCACTAAAGTTAGTGACCATGCCTCATTTATGTCCCTTAATTTCAACTGACCTGCTTAGCTAGTCACTATCAATTACCGTATTTTTCGCTCTATAGGATGCACTTTTTCCCCTTCAAAAATGAAGGGGAAATGTGTGTGCGTCCTATGGAGCAAAGACGCCATAGCCCCGCGACCCTCTCCCGGCTGCAGAGGTGACGCGCGGCTATGGAAGGAGCCTCTCAGCTGCGCCTTTCCGCTGCTCCCTGACCTGCTCTTTGGGGCTGGTGGTGGGCTTCCCCCCACCAGCCCCAAAGAGCAGGTCGAAAGGAACCTGAAGCCTGGAGAGCAAGAGGGGTCGGTACACACCGACCCCTCTTGCTCTCCAGGCTTCCAAGGTAGCCGCCTGAACGCACCCCAAACGGCACCTTGTTTTAGAGCGGGAAAACAAGAGGGGGAAAATTCTCCCACTCTCTGCGCAGCGCCTCCTGCCACTTCGCTGAAGGGGCGCTGGGCAGAGAAGGGGAGAATTTTTTTTCGTGTTCTCCCCCCCTCTAAAACAAGGTGCGTCCTATTGTCCGGTGCGTCCTATGGTGCGAAAAATACGGTAAGTCTTAATCTACCACCACAGGGTGGTTGCAAGGATAATACAGGAATAGAACAAAGTATGCTATCCTATGCTCCTGGGAAGGAGAGTTGAGTTTAATTGTAATGATAATTTTTTAAAAAAATGCTGGGTCAGAACATTAGTCCACCTAGCACAACGTTTTAGCTCTTAACCATAGTCACCCAGACACCACAGATCAGTTCACAAGCAAGATGCCTGGCAGTGGAGGTATGGATCCATTTCCCTGCCCCTAAAGTTACAGTATTCTAAGGAAAATAGCAGGCCAGATTCAAAATGGAAAGAAACTGTTGCTTTCCCACATTACAAAAAGAGCATGCACTTACCAGGTCCCACTTTCAAATTTGTAGTTCACCCTTTCTGGATCTGAAAATGTGTGATCTACAAAACACAGCAGCATGAAGTTAGCGACATGTCTAGTCCCAGAGTAATATATACCTTCCAACATGTTGCCAAAGAAGGGGACAATTGTACACCTCGAAAAAGCACTGCTTGTATCAAGAACTGCTGCATGATTCCTCAAGTCAACCCAACAATTACACATTGATGGGGCCTCTTCTCTGCCAACCATACTAAGCCTGGAGCTGCTTCTGAAGCTGGTGTGTTTTTAGTAAATGGGGTGTCACTTGTGCAAAAAGGCAACAGCGGGGTTACAGGGCTCTGTGTTTAGTCTCTGCCTCCAAAGTTGTGCAGCTCCTCTCAGTCCCTCACATGAGAATATTTAAAGCAGGGAGCATGTGTACCTGCAGGAAGTTTTCTCTGGGGTGAGGAGTAAAACACTAAAATATGATGAGCAGACTCATTCTCACAAAAATGGGAATTGTGTTTGCATATTTTGTCTTATCTGTTTGATTCCACAACATGCTAGAAACTTACCCCTATTTTAAAAAGAAAGGAAGCTGAGAAACTGGAGATTATGGTCCACCCACCATGGATGACCATGGCAGGAAGTCTTATTATTTCTGTGTAGGTTCCTCATGTGATTTAGAACTCTCAGGCTAAGCATGTGATCCCCACAGCCTCTTTGCATCTGTGTTGTACTTTCATGTGATGAAAGAGGGCTATAGCAGAATCTGGGAGCTGTGTGGCCCTCCAGATTTTGCTGGACTCTAGCTCCCATCACACCCATCCACTGGCCACACCGGCTGGGGCTGATGGGAGCTGGAGTCCACCAGCATCTTGAGAGCCACAGATTTCCTGCCACTGCATCACAATTTCCTTTTCATTCTGCTGATTTCTAAGTTCCTAAGCTGGCTTTCTGGAAGTCTAGTTCGAAACATTTCATCTTGCAACAGAACTGGCTCAGCAGCCTTTAGTACCTGGATAGTCAGTGGGGAAGGGAGGAAATTATGGCACACCTGAATATCCTAAATTTCTTTTAAAAAAACAAGTCATCCCTGTCAATCAGACGCAAAGGACAAAGTGATGACAGATTTACCAGGAACAGGCAACCGGAAAAACAGAAACAGCTTACTGTATGGTTCTGAGATGAGTGTTAAAATGACGTTTCCCATGTCTTCCACCTGAGACGCTCCAAAATTCTGTTGTGAACTGCTCTTGTCAAGATTCAGATCTGAGCATTGGTGTTAAGTCAAGAATCTTAAAGCGGCAATTTAAACAGATTATGCTTCAGGGCTAGCTATCAACCTGTATTGATTCACTGTGGTGTTTGTCCCTAGGCCTGTTCTCTCATATCCTCCACATCTAGGTATCGGCCCACCCACCATACCATTAAAAGAGTAATTAGAAACGTAAGAGCTGGAAATGTACAAAAGGAAAATATTCGCAATCTTGATGAGATCTGACGCACAATATAAAATTTTAAAGCTTCAAATGTGTTTCCTCTGATCTTGGAATGATGAAGTTAATCACTAAAGCCATAAATCTATTACAGTAATGAAACAGGTATTCTGCTTAACGTAAGAAAAAGCCTGCTAGATCAAGCTAATGGCTAATCTAGTCCAGCATCCTGTTCTCAGTGGCCAACCTATGTGTGTGGGAAACCAGTGAGCAGAACGTGAGCACAAATGCACTCTCCCCTCACCTGGTTTCCAGCAACTGGTATCTGGAAGCACTGCTGTCTCCAGCTGTGGAGGTTAGAGCACAGCTATTCTGGCTAGTAGCCATTGATTGCTCTGTGCTCCACAAATTTGTCTAATCCTCTTTTGAAGTCATCCAAGTCGGTGGCCGTCATTACCTCCGGGGGGAGCGAGTTCCATAGTTTGACTATGTGCTGTGTGAAGAACTACTTCATTAAAGGGGAAAGGTAAAGGACCCCTGGATGGTTAAGTCCATTCAAAGGCGACTTTGGGGTGCAGCACTCATCTCACTTTCAGGCCGAGGGAGCTGGCCTTCGTCCCCAGACAGCTTTCCAGGTTATGTGGCCAGCATGACTAAACCAATTCTGGTGCAACGGAACACTGTGACAGAAACCAGAGCGCATGGAAACGCCGCTTACCTTCCTGCTGCAGCGGTACCTATTTATCTACTTGCACTGGCATGCTTTCGAATTGCTAGGTTGGCAGGAGCTGGGAATCGCAGGGAATCGAACTGCTGACCTTCCGATCAGCAAGCCCAAGAGGCTCAGTGGTTTAGACCACAGCACCACCCGCGTCCCTACTACTTCATTAGTCATTGTAATCAATATATATCTCTATGTATCACACACACACAAAATATGAAAAGTAATTTTTGTATATGATCGTATATATTTGAACTAAGTACATCCATTACACTCCTTATGCTGCAGATTTATTTTTATAAAACAGATTGTCAAACACAAAATGAGACTCTTTGCTTCTGCAGCACTGCAAGCCTCTGCATGAAAGCATTTGCATGAGAAATATTTCTTTTCCTACAGAAAATGGTTTCATTCCCAGTTAGTCTCAATTAATGGCTCTGCCATTACCATGCTGCATTATTAGTTCTGGCCATTGATCTGCACATCATTATTAGACTTTTTCCTCTTTGATACTCCGACAGATTAGCATTTTGTTTTTACAGTAGCCCCCTCCTGCTCCTGTAGATTACCAACCACAGCATTTCTTCCATTTTATACGATTCCTCAAATTGTCAGTGTAACATTGGTTGAAATTGAATCAGACATGCTTGATGAAGTCAGAGTCTAGACTCTTAGAAGATCTATGACTAGCATTTATCCTTTCCCACAAACCATTAACATCTCAAAGCCAATGAAAAATGTTTGGGGGTGGGGGGAGAACCCAACGCAATCTTCCTAGCAGTGTTCAAAACTCCTATTGTTCTAGGTGCATCTGGTGACAGGGAATTTCATTAGTGCAAGCAGTTTCTGAGCTCTGGGCGCAGTACTGCACCTAAGATTCCAGATTAAAACTGCAGAGTAGAAGGAAAGGAGAACCTTTTTCTGCCTCCCCACTTCAAGCTACTCTCTGAAGACTGGAGAAGAGACCCTATTAAGAATACAGTTGACCATCTGGTTATGGATTTAATTTGTTCTGGGGGTCTGTAACCAGAGGCGCCGCTCCTGTGCATGTGGCGAAACCCGGAAGAATATACTTCCGGGTTTGCCGCGCTCGTAACTTGAAAGTTACGTATCCAGAGTGGTATGTAACCAGAGGGTCCACTGTATTAGGGGGTTGGGCAGGGGAAGGAATGCACCATGTGAAAAATGAACATAATATTTTAGGGGCAGTTCATTCATTTTCAGCTTTGTATTCTTCTTATAAAAAAGTGTGCCTAGACATTCCATTGCTGCGTCCATAAACTAGGTTTAAGGTGACATTTAGCTCCTAGCTTTCATGTCTTTTTCCAAGACTGCCTCCTAGGACTGTACCACTTCAGAAGACAGGAGGAAGCATCTCCCTGAATGCTCCCCATGAGAGAGAAATTCTTTGCAAATGGAAGAGAAGCCTCTCTTGAGAGAGAGAGAGAGAGAGACTTCTGCCTGGGCTTTTACCTGATGCAGTAGCTATTCATGCACAATATGGTTGTACTGCAGAGCAGCATACTGAATAGCAGAGGCAAAAATGACTAGAGGAAGAGGGGTGTGTGTTTGTCAGTCCCACTCCCAGCAGTGGTGGGGTGTGCTGCACCTCCTGCCTTCCTTGCAATTCGGAACCTTTGTAAGACTAAATATGTAAAGGTTAGGAGAATGCGAGATGCACTTGGCAAAATTAGGATTCGGTGCGATGCACATTCCCCATTCTCTCTACACTTCTGCCCTCCTGTGTTCAAGCCTACACATCATGTAGCACAAGTGCTGGTTCACCTCCCATAGCTACTTCAAATTGCTTTTCAGAACACCATTCCGATAACTTGAGAGCCAGCATGGTATAGTACTTAGGCTCTTGCCAAACTATGAGGCTCACTGGGAGGCCTTGGCTCAGTCGCTGCCTCTCAGCCTCATTTGCCTCACAGAGGTTGTTGTGGGGATTATGAGGGGAAGATTATGATGGTTGATGTGGGGGATGAACCATCTATGCTACCTTGAGCTCCTTGGAAAAACAGTGAGATATAAATGCAATAAATAAATAATCAAATAATTTTCCTGTACAGTACAGTGGTACCTTGGTTTGCATACGTCTTGGTCTGCATATGTTTTGGATTACAAACACGTCAAGCCCGGAAGTGTGTGTCCTGGTTTGCAACCTTTTTTTTGGATTACAAACAATTTTTTTTGGAGGCCCCATTGGTGAAAGCGCGCCTTGGGTTACAACCTGTTTTGGTTTACAAACGGACCTCCGGAACGGATTATGGTTGTAAACCAAGGTACCACTGTATAGGGAAGTTTTTATATCTGTTGGAAGCTGCCCAGAGTGGCTGGGGCAACCCAGTCGGATGGGTGGGGTACGAATAATAAAATTATCACCATCATCTTGTATAATTTTACATTCCAACTAAAGTCTACTGCCCCAGCCTGTTTCCTAAGTGGCACAGTGCTGGGAGGATGAAACTATTTCCTTCAAACATTTGAATGGAATTTCAAAAGCCTTGACCCAAACAAGTGATGTGGGCATTTCGAGTTGCAAGTATACTCATATTGGCCATGTAATGATTTCTGCATGTCTGACTGTTAAGGGAACAGCAGAATGTATCCTCCGAAGGCACATGATTTATGGGCAGCCATGCAAGCCTGATTCACTCCACCCTTGAGGCATCTGCAACCAGAAACTAGCTGAGCGAGCTTTGCAAGTGGAGAACGGCGATGAACTGAAGCAGGGGCAGGGAATGCAAGCAGATAGCTGTAAAACACAGGGCCACTTTAGGATCCAAGTTGGAACAGTCAGTTCCCTAGCTCGTTGGTCAGCGTGGTGGGAAGATCTCACACCGAAGAACTAGGCTGATAAACCCACAAGTCAGTGGCTTATCATTTATGGCTATATAACATGATGGGCAACTAAGACTGGCACACGAGTTGTAGTGGACCAAGGGAACTTGAGTCAGCAAGGTGATGCTGCAGCACAAAAAGCCAATGTCGTATCTTAACAGGAGCATTGCTGCCAATACACTAGAAAGGAAAAGGACTCAATGTTAGTTAGATCTTGTTTGAAATCCTGTATTTAGGCTCCTTTGGGAGGAAGGCCAGGATACTGTATAAAGTTGATAAATAAAAGTAATGGAAAGCTTCAGAGAAGACCGCCACAAGGTGAGAAAGCTGTGGCTTCAGACGCAACAGTAGGGTGCTTGTAGTAACTATCATCGAATAACATTTAAGGCTAATGTTTTATTAAATTTATATCCCACCTTTTCTCAAAGGAGCTCAAGGTGAGAAAAGAGGCAGAGAGATAGTAACTGGTCCAAAGTCAACCAAGTGGGCTTCATGGCTGAGTGGGGATTTGAACCCTGATCTCCCAAGTCCTAGTCCAGCACTCTAACCATTACACCACAGTGGCTCAGATACATGGGCCTCATTCAGTAGTAGATGGCCTGGTGGTGGTGGTGCAGCAGCAGCAGTGTACCTGACCTCCCACCAGCTGACTGGCTCTGCCACAGCATAGGCACCACACTGACCTTCCCACCACCTCGCCCCGGCCTCCTGGTAATCAGCACCAGCACGTGAGCACTGCCTCCCCAAACCGCCACCTGCCATTGGCCCCTTTGTTAAGTTACTTTTACAACCGATTAAAAAGCTTCAGTTTGGGTTGTGTGGTGCGCATGATACCAAACCTCTGCATGAGTCTGACAGAAAGGCTAGTTATGCCTCCCACTCAAAAGAAATGGCAGATGGCAAAGCAAGAGAGACCTTGGAGGGTTGGATTAGATGTCCCATGGCTGACACATGTTAAGCCCAACATTTCCTTTTTTAAAAGAAAAAATGAAAAGCAGCTGCAGGTGGCTGAATCAGAAACTGAAAAACCCCCGTCTGATTTTTTTTTCCAGCTCAAAATGTGCTCTCCTCATTTGCTCCCCCCCTTTACAGTCAAAAATTCACAGTGAGGTCACCAAAGTAGATTTAACAATAGCATGATCCCTTATCCCCAACTCATGCTGGCTGGGGATGAAATTCAGAGTTTCCAAATCCCCAGGACAGTGGAACCTAAAGGACCAATCTGCACAGGGCAGGGGTAGTCAACCTGTGGCCCTCTAGATGTTGCTGGACTCTAACTCAGGTAGAGAAGTCCACAGAGCAACCAAGCAGCATAACGTTGTGCTTGCAATAGTGGTGTAATTAAGAAGACTACTGTGGAGAAACCCAAGAACAGTCCCCCTTCCTCCCCTCAGTCCCAGCCCCAATGGTTGATAGGGGTCTGATTAAGCTCTGCAACTAATCACAATACACCCTGCCAGGCAGAATTGTGTGCAAATAACACAAAAGCCGGGAGAGAGAATCTGCTCTAACTTCCAAGGGTAAACTTTGGAACTGATAGAGTAGAGGGGTACCTGTGCCAAGTCATTTGCAGCAAACAAGATGTGGTCTTGTAGCAAAAATCTAACATCCGAAATTGCAACATTCAAGAACCAGAGAGTGTTTCTGCCTCCAAGGACACTCTGACTGGTCTTAAAGAGGAGAACCTTGAAGAAAGGAGCTTCAAAGGCAAGCTGAAGTGAATCACAATTCTTTCAGACGCTCTAAAGATTAAACTTGCACTGCTCTTAACACTTCATTCATTTTAAAAGGATACATTCCGCCATGGCTTTAGCATCTAATTTGTCGATTTCAGGTGAGCCAGGGCAACATTTCTTGAATTCCTTCCGCAGATCAAAAAATGAGTAGAAACATTCAGACAACAAGATGTTCTGCAAAAATGACATGTTAGTTCTAGTAAGTCAAGGTGTGTAGCTTGTACACTATCAGGTTGAAAGCATGCTCAGTTAGCTTACAGGAAACCGTTTTGTAAGCTACAAGTCAACTTTTTATCACTTACCGGTATCTAAGTTTCCCTTCTTGAGAGCGCACCCTCAGTGTCCTTTAATAAGAAATTGTGCCCCATTCACAATTACTCACAAAATGAAGACTAACAGAGCCAAGAAAGGTTTTGCAGAACCCATTTGAAAAGGCAAACACATCATCTCAGACTAAGGGCAGGATTCAACCAACAAGCCCCACTAGCAGAAGCCAGTGCAAGGGTTCCTGCTAATAGAGTGGGGCTCCTTGCCTCCCTCTGTACACACCCAAAAATGATGGGGGGATTAGGAGAACCCCCAGACTAGCATGCGGAGGGGAGAGAGGGGGTATTGTTCCACCTGGCAAGCTGAAAAGCTTGTGCACTGATGGAACAATTGCCATTGCATTATGCTGGATTCCTCCCATAGTTCTTCCAGGCCACATTTATAGTCTTGTGCAAAAGAAAGTGCAAAAGAAAGAAGAAAAAACCGCTACCCACACATTCCTTCAGTATTGTAAGCCAGGTATGAGGAACCTGTGGCTTTCCAGATGTTGCTGTTTTCCCATTAGCCCCAACAGCTGATCATGCTGAAGTTTGAGGCCAGCAAAATCTGGAGGATCAAAGGATCCCCGTTCTTGCAAGAAACTCCCCATCTTTTCCAATAAGCTCCTCCCAACATAAAACCACCTCTCTCAATTATATGCAGGGTTGAGCTCCCTGAACCCTGGCTTGGCCTGGCTGCATAGCAGAGAGACATAGAGAAGTCTCTTCCACACAGCATTTTTTGTACCTGTGCATATATTGAAAGATGCAAGATTGGAAGAGCCTGCAATGCTCACGAGAAGAACTATGGACGAGCTACGCAGCTCATCCCAAATGAACGCCAGATTTCACATGCACCCATTATTCTGTTATTTTATAAAAGTTTAAAGACTGCTCTAAGAATCAAATAAATAGTAGCGTCTCTGTTTCTCTCTCTCTCTCTCTCTCTCTCTCTCTCTCACACACACACACACACATGTATGTACCATATATTGCTATGCTTCATATCAACTCAACCCCAAAGGCTTTTTGAGAAAGGACAAATGCATTGCACCACTTTATATTTATGAATGGGGTTATTATTTTAGCTGCAATTGACACAGTTTAGAACCTTGGGCATGGCTAAAAAGCTTCATTCCCTCCCCCGCTCTGTTGGTGCATAACTAGAGCAATGTGATCCTATTATAGGGCAATACGCCTCAGGCACTGATTTACCTAGCGGAGGGTGGGCTGAAGTGAAAAGTAAAAAAAAAAAAAAAGAGGCATACTTCTGTGGCAGATTGATTTCTGTTTTGCCTCTGCTTCAAGCTTCACAGCTGATGAAAACTGTGGGGCTCTCCAGGTGGTGCTGAACTCCACACTGCCCACCCAACTACTAAGAGAATATGTATTCTCTTTATAATGGATTGAAAGATGAGTTTACTGGTGTTCTTCCTTATTTTTGAAAGCAACAACGAAAAACCCAACAAGACTCAAAACACACATGTATTTTTGCTACTGTAACATTAGCGGCAATAGGAACCCTTGGAAAGCACAGATTGTTCACGACCAGAATTTCAAGATCTACAACAACGTGATCTGAAAGGTGCAGAGCACAGATTTAATCTCTTTGAAAAGATGACTGATAGATTAAGCAGCAAAACACATCAGCTACAGCCAAAGTAAAAATTGCTTCACATGTGATTTTTACTGGCATTGCTGTCACATGCGCTGGAAATCTACATGCAGTGTACCTGCGATGTAGTACAAACGCAACGCTGCATATGTAGATTTCTTATACAGAAGCAGCATAAATTCCAAGCAAGCATTGCTTGGGAAGGAAGATCGACCACTGCATTACTGGTAATATTTATACACGTTTTATCTCAATGGATTTCAAGGTAATTTACAAAAAGTAAGACACAAAGCAAAACAAAATAGATAATATAAGGAAACAAGCAGTAGATATAGGCAGGCAGTAGTTGTCAAGTTTTAAGATATTTAAGTCATCAGAAATAAAATGTTTTTGTCTGGCACCTACAAGTGAACAAGGTTGGGACCAGACATACCCCCCTGGAAAGGTACCAACTGGGGTACCAAAAATAGGCCACCTCCCTTGATGAAGCAATTCCCCCTTGTGATAAAAGTAGCATTTGAAGAAGGGCACCAGAAGATGAACTTAAAATGCAGGCAGGTTGATTTGGAGTAGGCATCATCAAGCACATGGGTCCCAAGTTGTTCGGTACTTTAAAGGTTTACTCTGCAATGGGCCTGGAAGCAGACACTAGCCAGCAAAGTGTAGTTGTTTTTAAGACTGGCAATATATGATCCAAGTCTGCAATGCCAGCTATAACGTAAATGAAACATGCAAACCATTTTCAGAGGAAGATCCAAGTAGAGTACACTGCATTTTTGCAAACATGATCCTACCAGAGTAGATGATCAAGGCCAGATAAAACTTGGTGGGATTTCCAACCAAGGATTAGGTCCAAGCCAAAATGAATATTGTTATATGCAACCTGATCCTATGCATACTTTATTCAGATGTAAATCCCACTGAATGCAATGAGTCTTAATCAAAGTTAAGTGTACATAGGTTAAGTGCATTTAGGATTTAAATACTGTTTATGGCAGCAAGATCTGGGAACACTTGCAACCATGCTATCTAACAATCAATTTTGCTTTGAAAATGCAATTGTGCTCAACATTAAAATTCATGTTGGGTCATTATACTACTCAATAGAAATTACAGGCAAGAACTGCAGTTAGTATGTAACAGAAATATGTACACATCCCTGTATGTACTTCAGTGATTTCAGAAAACGGGCAATGTGACGAGAAATACTTCATTTTAAGCAAAACTATGTGCAATAGATTCATGCATATCCTGATTGTCAGAAGGGGTCAGAATTAATTAAATCTTAGTCTTCTTACCTTTTTGGAAGCTTCAGGATGAAGAACTTGCCTGAGATGAAGCTGCCCATCTGTGCAGAGACAGAACGAGGTACCTACACCAATATTTAGTTCATTGCTCACAGACTGGTTAAACTAAAAGTTACAAGACACAAAAAGAAAAAGAAAAACCCACTTACAACCTGAAAGTACATTTTGCAATACTAGATAAATATTTTTTATCAGTTATGCTTTCAGTAGGATTCACTACCTGCCCAAATCAGAGTGCTGCTTACGTTACTTTGTATCCTGCTTTTCAATCACAAAGTCCCAGAAGTGGCTTTCAAACCAAAATATTATTCTTATTTATTTAACGAAACGTATATACCGCTTGATTGCATTAAAACCTCTAAATGGTTTACATGAAACAGTAAAATTATCAACAAAACATTAATACATATTAATTTTTATACCACTTAATGCCAAAATAGGCTTCAGTTAAAAACATGTTAACAAATGCAAGAGGAATCACAAAAATGCACAACAGCAAACAACCATTCAAGAGATAGTGTAGGTACAGCAAAATTAATAAAGAATATTTTAACTTCAGCAGATTTAGGTGTATTTCAAGGTTGCAAGTTAGATAGATGTTAATATATTTTTTGCACTGTGGATTTAGTTGCCCTTCCTCCAAAGAACTCTGAGCAGAACACAGCGCTGCTCCTTTTTACCCTCATAATAGCCTGTGATGTAGGATAGGCAAGAGTATGTGACTGGCCAAAGTCAAGCAGTGAGCTTTATGTCTGAATAGCTAATAACTCCATTAATACAAACCACACACACAATTTCTACTGGAGAGGCAGGATTTTTTTTTATAGCATCTTGATCATACACGATTAAATATGAGCAACCTTCAGCAAATCTTTACACAGGGTTGGCCCAAGTTACTTTGCTTCCTGAGGTGAATATGAACCTCATGTCATCCCCAGAATCTGAGCAGCTTAACCACTGGATCTCGGTTCAATCTGGCATTTGGACTAAATGCTCCACTACATTGCAGGGGGTTGGACTAAGATGACCCAGCACAAGGTAGACCACATGCTACACACACACACACACACACACACACACACAGTACTCCAACACCTCAGTGCCCCTCACTCACTGTCCAATTGACACCAGTGTGCTGCTTATTCAAGACAGCTGATGTACAGTCACGCCTCATGTTACGTTTGCTTCATGTTACGTTCTTTCAGGTTACGTCCCGCAGTGACCTTGAAGTACTGGAAAGGGTTACTTCCGGGTTTTGCCGCTCGCGCATGCGCAGAAGTGCAAAATGACGTCACGCGCATGCACAGAAGCGTGAATCGCAACCCACACATATGCAGATGCACCGCTGCAGGTTGCACTCTTTCATGTTGCAAACAGGCCTCCACAACGGATCCCGTTCACAACCAGAGGTACCACTGTAATGTAATGCAATGCATCAGTGCAGCAGCACCCATATGCATCACATGAAGAAAGCTGCAAGGTGTGGGCCAGGCAGTTGGCCTTTCATCTTGCTTGCTTGGTCAGGGATTTCCCCCAAAGGAAAATCAGCATGTCTGTGACATATTAGAAGAAGGCAATTAAGTGAGACAGCCAGATCCAATCAATAACACGCAAGCACTGAACGTAAGAACTACCACCACTTGATCAGGCCAATGGCCCATCTACTCCAGCATCCTGTCGTCACAGTGGCCAACAGCATCTCTGTGGGGGGCCTGCAAGCAGGACATGAGCACAGCAGCACTCTGCCCACCTGCAGTTCCCAACAACCAGTATTCAGAGACATATTGCCTCTAACAGTGGAACCTCGGGATGCGAACAGGATCCGTTCCAGAGCCCCGTTCGCATCCAGAAGCAAACGTAACTAGCGATGGCAGGTCTGCACACGCGTGCATCGCTTTTTTGCTGCTTCTGCGCATGTGCAAGGCGTCATTTTGAGCGTCTGCGCATGCGGCAAAACCCGTGCTCCGTTACTTCCGGGTTGCCGCAGAGCGCAACTCGAACGCGCTCAACCTGAAGCATATTCAACCTGAGGTATGACAGTACAGTTATTGCTGCCAGCTCAGATGGTTGCAAATAGCTGCTTAATCATAAAATCATAGAATTGGAAGGGACCACAAGTGTCATCCAGCCCAACCCCCTGCAATGCAAGAATCTTTTTCCCAATGTGGGCTTCGAACCCATGACTCTTAAAGAGTCTCAATGGTCTACCAACTGAGCTATCCCAGCTGGCTCAAGAAGAATGGCCACTCCCCGCATCCCCAGCAATTGTTTCGAGGTAACTGCCTCACTCTGCCTCATGGTAGGATTAGCCCATCAGTAGGGTTTCATAACTCTCTAACAACACGATTTTAAAAAAGGTTCTTCATCTAACTTTTTGTACAAGCAGCACAATATTGCCCCTAACATGGCAAGCTAAGGGCTTGGCTCCACAGCCATTTTTCCCCTTACAATACTTGCACATCATTTATTCTATGATTCACTACAGACCCAAACTCTTCTTAAAATCCACCAATAAGGGAAAATGTGCCCATTGTTCCACATGAGGGCATATCAATTTGTTTAGTAACTTGAGTTATTATTTAACCTCTTATCTGTTTTGGAAAGACCTTGTAGCCAGTTGTATGCTTGCAGTTCCCTCCTCGTTAGAGAAAGGTAAAAAGGTAAAGGGACCCCTGACACTTAAGTCCATTTGCAAACGACTCTGGGGTTGCGGCGCTCATCTCCCTTTACTGGCCGAGGGAGCCAGCATTTGTCCGCAGACAGCTTTTCCAGGTCATGTGGCCAGCATGACTAACCTGCTTCTGGCAAAACCAGAGTAGTGCACGGAAACGCCGTTTACCTTCCCACCGGAGCGGTACCTATTTATCTACTTGCGATGTGTGCTTTCAAACTGCTAGTTTGACAGAAGCTGGGACCGAGCAACGGGAGTCCCCCCCCCCCCCGTTGCAGGGATTCAAACCTCTGACCTTCCGATCGGCAAGCCCTAGGTTCAGTGGTTTAACCCACAGCGCCACCTTCTGATCGGCAAGCCCTAGGTTCAGTGGTTTAGACCACAGTGCCACCCGCGCCCCTAGAGAAAGGTGCAATTGCTCAATTATCAGTTAGCTAGCTGGGGGGGGGGGATGTTTAATATATTTGCTAGTCAGTTGTGGCCTCCACCAGCTTGTGTGGAAGTGACCAGCAGTGACCAGCAACTTTAGAGAGATCTAATTTTACTGCACCCACTCTTCAGGTCTTTCCTCTACTCAACTCGAAAAACAAAACACAAACTTGTAGAATGACAGAATTGAGTAAACAAGGTGGAAAGGAAGTGTGCCAACTCTGAATTGGGTTTTTTTCTGGCCCAGCAGTAGGGAAATCACAGGGTCCACCTTCCTTTCAAGGCTGCCATTTCTAGCCACGTTTATCTGGGAGTAAGTGTCACTGTGGAGCAGTTGGGGACTGACCACAGCTCAGTGATAGAGCATCTGCCTTGCATGCAGGAAGTCCCAGGTTCAATCCCTGATGGCCCTAGGAAGGGCTGGAGAAAAGCTGCTACCTGAAAATCTGGAGAGCTGCTGCCAGTCTGAGTAGACAATACTGAGCAAAATGGACACATGTTTTGGCTCAGAGCAAGGCAGATTTCTGTGTTCCTATTTTGAAGTGATGCCTCTACCGCAGCAACAGCCATCCTCCTGGCTTTACTTGCAAGTGCGCACACAAATGTCAAGGCCATGGAGCTTTGAAACATCAGGAAAGCAGTCTGAAGCCATCTCCTGTCTTCCTTAGGCACACGTGGGCGAGGAAGGTCGACTTTTTCCTGCTCCTTCTGCGGTGACTCAGCTTTCCCTCCCCTCCCAAAACAAGCCCAACCCATCCCTGAAGAGAAATGGAGCGTCTCCTTAGCACTTCTCCCCCTTTTAACCTGCATGCACCCGATTCCCACGACCCAGCCTAGCTTACCTGTCTCAGAGCTTGCTCCAGCTGCGGGGCGAGCGCCAGGCGGTCCTCGGCGAGGCCGGTTTCTTCTTTGCACTCGTCCGTCAGCTCCAAGTGATCGGGCCCGATCAACTCCTCATGCAGATTTCCCAACTCCATGGAATTAAGGGAGGGGTCGGGGAGAAGAGGGGGAAGGCAAAAGGAAGAGATAAATCCTTCCAACCCAAGGTCTCCCCTGCAGGCATTCCCAGATAAGACAGACCAAGCTGGTTGCTGGTAAGCCGGATCTAACCTGGGCCAGCGCCGGGCTCTTTGACCCATGTAGGCCCAAGCCTTTCTTCGAGCGTTTGTTTACACTGCGGCCGCTTATCTGGGAGAGTAAGGAAGGGTTTACTTCCGAGTAGACACGTGCAGGCCGGTTCCGTCGGGTTTCTGAGTCACCCGGGGCGCGCGGGGCACAAATCGAGCCTTGCTTTCAAGCTCCTTGGCAGTCACTGGGACCACGCGGAGCGTTTACACGCGGCCCGGCCGAGATCCGAAGTCGGGGCTCGGAGCGTTCTGACGCCAGGTTGGCTCCAGCAGCACCGCTCCGGGCCTGAACAACCCCTCGAGCACACTCCTTAAGCCGGAAGGGTTTATTGGGACAGTCTAGTTTCTTTTCAAACACCTTTACGGTCAAAATCCATGCATATATATATATTTTTTAAAAATAGAACACCCCACTAACAACTCAAGAGGTAAATCCCACGGAATCTAATTGGATTTACTCCCAAATAACCGTGCACTGGATGGGAGCTGGGCTGCGTTCACACATTTAAAGCACCCCCCACACCAAAAAAGGAATCCTGGGAACAGAAGTTTAAGGATGCTGGGAATTGTAGCTCGGTGAGAGGTGAACTACAGTTCCCAATGGGATTTGGGGGGGTATTAAATACATGGTGTACACAACCTTAATTCCGACCCACCTCGGTTTTGCCGAGGGCACAAAAGTTCCTGCCCACACTTGCGTAGAAAACAAAAAAAGAAAGCGGAGTACCTTCTTATTGCTCAGATCTACCACCTTCCACAGCAGCTGGATCAACTCTCTCTCATCGGAGCCCAGCCGAGCCCCGTTGGCTCCGGCGGTGGTCCCGAACAGGATGACCAGGTAGCCCGGAGACGTCGTCATGCCGACGGGGATGAGCCCCACAGAGGGAGGGGCGGGAAGAAGGACCTTCACCAAACTTCGGGCAAAACCAGCCCAGCCAGCCCCCAACCCAGCCACCCCCCAAGCCCCTCCTCCTCCTCTCCTGTGCAGAGGAGCAACACTAGCCCCTTCCCAACCCTACACCTCCAGCCACCTCAGCTCTCCCTCAGTCCCTGCCCCGCACCTGCATTTAGGAGAGCGGGGGCGTGGGGGGAGGCGCCTGCCCCACGCGGCCTCTTTTTGTAGCTTAATTGCAACAGGAGCCAATTCCGCAGCGCAGGGCGGGCTACACCCCTGCGAGGCGCGCAAATGGCTGCGGGCCGGGGCTGTTTGGGGATGTGGCTGTACCTGCCCCTTCCTCCGCCCCACGTGGTGCAGGTGAGAGAGACACACCTGAGGGAGGCCGCCCATTGGCTACTCTCCCCGCAAGGGACGTGGCAACCGGGCGGGGGGAGGAGGCGAGGGCGGGTCAGGGGAGCAGGCCGAGGGGCTTTAACCCAGGGACGGAGATTGCGCCCAGGGACACCTGCCTGGGACGAAGGCGCACGCCATCGTGAGTGTGGAAGTCCCGGAAAAGGCTGGCCGGCTCACCTCCACAGCGGAGCCTTTTTATTCTTTCTTTGGAGCTGCAAAATAAAGAAATAAAGTTCTGTGATGGTTTTATGTATTTTACAAAGCTGAGAGTGCGGTGTAGTGGTAAGAGTGTTGGGCTAGGACTAGAGGGGTTATTGGTTTGCTTAGCTTTGTTGTGTATTTCGCATTCTCATTTTGTGAACCGGCCTGGGATCTTCTGATGATAAATTTAAAAATATTATTAATAGGACCTGGGAAACAAAAGGGCATGAAGGTCACTGGGTCATCTTGGACCAGTCACTCTCAGCCTAACCGACCTCACAGGGTTGTTCTGAAAATAAATTGGGGTGGAGAACAATGCCGCCTTGAGCTCCTTGGAGGAACGGTGGGATATAAATACAAGTAGTAGTAGTAATTAGCAAAACATTAACAGAAATCCATCACGGGCATTGTTCAAAGCATTTCACGTGCGTTACCTGGTTGTGATCCTTCCAACAACCCTGACAGGTAGGTCAGCGTTCTTCCCCGTATAGAGGATGAGAGTGTTTGAAGGCTGGGGGCGGCGGCCTTGTTTAGGACTCACCTGGTGAGCTCATGGCAGAAGTAACACTTGAACCAGGGACTTCCCTTTAACAAATGCACCAGCCACTAACTGTCTATGACTAGCCTACTAATAAAGGTTGTATTTGGCTGCAGTGTTGTGTTCACTCATTTGGAAAGTAGCCCAGTGAGGCTTACTTCCAAGTAAACAGGCACAAGGTCAGGCTTCTTGTTTGGGTGTCAAGGATAACGGAAGGACACGCAGAACGGAACATACGGAGTAGTGTCAGAAAATGGAATCTGAAAGGATGGCAGAGATCGGCCAGACAGAGAAGAGGCGACCGCCCAGATTGGTGAGGATCCGGGAAACAATGTAGTCAAGTAACGTTAAAGGAGAATTGCCTCCAGATATATGAAGGGCTGTCGTGCAAAAAAGTTGGAGCAGAAGCTAGTTCCCTGTTGCTCCATAGCCGTTTTAAGGACGCAGGAAGCTGCCTTATACAGAGGCCAGTCCCGTTGACACTGACGGGCAGCATCTCAACAGGGGACATTTCCCAGTCCTACCCCGCGATACTGGGGATTTAACCGGGGACCTTCTGCACACAAAGGATGTGCTCTGCGTCCTCTGCGGCTATGGTTCCCCCTCCACCCACCCCGACAACAACAAAAATATATGTACGGATCTATCCGTTTAGACATAAATATTCCTCCTTCCCACGATTAGACCCATTGGTCTGACCAATCCAGGTTTCATCTTCATAGAATCGTAGAGTTGGAAGCAACCCGAGAGTCATCTAGTCCAACCCCTTGCAATGCAGAAATCTCAGCTGGAGCATCCATGATAGATGGCTTATCCAACCTCTGCTTTAAAACCTCCCAAGGCGGAGAGTCTACAACCTCCCGAGGGAGACTGTTCCACTGTTGAACAGCTCTTACTGTCAGAAAGTGTTTTCCCTCCCGTATGTTCGGTCGGAATTTCCTTTCTTGAAACTTGAAGCCATGGGTTCCAATCCTACCCTCCTGAAGATACTTGCAAATGGCTATCATCTCTCCTCTCAGCGCTCCTCGTAAGGCTTGGTTTTCATAACCTTGAAGGATATGATCTGTGCCCTCCCACCTGCTACTACTCCCCCCACCTTTGAAAAAAGTTTATGGGGAGGGGAATATTGCATTGCAGGGGGTTAGATTTGGTGACCCACGAGGTTCCTTACAACTCTGGAATTCTATGGTTCTTTTAACTCTGCCAGTAACATGCCCTGCGCTCCGGGTTATGGAAAGACCGGTTCATCTCCGGGCATCAGCGGTGGGGAAAGGATCCATTCCTGGGTGCAGCGGGGAAACCAGCAGCTCCTTTCAGGATCATCTGGCCCGGTGCGCGCAAGATCTCTAGAACTTGGATCGCGCGCTCCCTCGCTCGGTGGATACTATAGCTCGCTGCCGCCCTAGGGTCAACCTGGGGTCCCTGGCTATGTTGGGCTGCAACTCCCACGCTCCCTAGGTAGCAATACCAGCGGGCAGGCTTGATGGGAGTCGTCCAACAACAGCTGGGGACCCAAAAGGACTTCCTAGAAGCCTGTATAGATTTTCAAGAAGCTGGAAATAGTTCCTCTGTGGCAGCCTTTGCAGCCCAAGAAACCGCCCACTGGGCCCGAAGCTGCGGAATAAACTATTGGAGATTAACAGCTGTCCCGTGGGTAGCGTTGGTTTCCTGCGGAGCGATTTGACAGGCTGCTAGCAGTTTGAAGAGTCCGCCATGGGTGCAGCTGCCTTCCCAAATCAAGTAGATAAATAAGAATACTTAACTAAAACTATAAATGATAGAAAGATTTTGACAGATGTTTTCCGAGTGCTTGAGGTCAAAAGAAAACAATTAAAAACAACTGTTGCGGAGACATTTCATTCCGAATCTGCTAGACAGAGAGGATGGAGACCATGGGGGTGAGAAACCGAATCGACTGGGACTGATGGACTGAGCAAATCTATAGCATACTTACCAGGAAGTAAGCCTCAATAAGCTGCGCTCTTCACTAGAGGAAGGAAACTCCATTGATAGTAGCGGGACTGACTTCTGAGCAAGGAAGTGATTATTATTATTATTAATATTATTACAGTTACCGTAAATCCCTATTACCTCCAAATATTGGCGTACAATATTCTCCTCTACTCCTCACATCAACTATTCCCAAGTCACACATTGACATTCATGGCTACCTGCAGATTTGAACCCTGGTCTCCAAGGTTCCAATTCTCCGACCCCACTACAAGAGCCTTATGTTCACACCATTGGGAGCTACTTCCGAATTAAGCGTGGTTTCTTATTTTTATAGAAGGCTGGACAGTAACACCTTTCTCTGGGCGGCTTAATGAAGCACAAAATGACACAGTGCCCTAAAAAAGATGGGTGGCGCCGTCTGTCATGTATGATCCACTTGCGATTCCTGCATTGCAGGGGGTTGGACTAGATGACCCTTGGGATCCCTTCCCTATTCTTTGCTTCTGTGAAAAGCAACCCCAAATCCTGAGCACTTGCAGTGCAATCCTACCCAAAGGTTAAGCCCCTTTGAGTTTAACGGGGTTTACTCCCAATAAAGTGGCCATAGGATTTCAGCCTTAGAATATCTACTATTGAACTGAATGCGGGTTTACAGTCCCATCCCATTGTGTGTGTTTGTTTGCTCAAAAGTCGCTTTGAGTCGCCGTGGCAAAAAAGCGACCAATAAATGTAATATTAATAATAGTTCCAGACGCTTATTCGGAAACAATGGAGAAGGGTCACATACAGGAGGTTTCCCAGGTTCAATTCCCAACATCCCTAAGTAGATCTGGAGAAACCGTGGAGAAACCCTGTCAGTCTGGGCGCATCTCTAGATCGATCCATTGCTCTGACTCGGAATAAGGCAGCTTTTTTTGTTTCTAGGGAATGGCAAGGCGGAGACAAGTTAGACAACCAACTTGGCGTGGTAGGTCTCTCCTCACATGATGATGGCACAAGAGCATTAATTTTTTTTTTGCGGAGTGCCTGAGATTTGCGCGCTACAGACTCACCAGCAGAGCGCAAAACAAAACCAGGAAAAGGCGAGGGCGGAGGAAGAGAGTGTTTTGCGTGGGAATAGTCTTACCCCCCTGTGGCCTGTTTCAAGACAGGGTTGCTGGCTTATATATATTTCCTTTTCATGTTAATACGGAGCACATTGTCCCCCCCCCTTTTTTTTTGAAGGGGTGGTGGTGCGTGCTTTGGCCACTGATTTCAGACAGATGCCATTTTCATAGAACCTCACAGTGTGCTCTTTATTTTGGAGCACTTTGGTGGCTCTCCTACTTGCTTATGAGATTTCCAGAAGAAAGGAGCCGCGAGTCGCGACGACCCGCCTTCCATGCCCATCCCATCCTGGTCCGATTTCACTTTTTAGCCTTTTTCAGCTCCATCCTGCCGCCCTCCCGCTCTCTGCAAAAAAAAAAGGTTGGAGAAGCAGCTGCTGCAAAGCCGTGCGCGCAGTTCCGGGCGGGCAGCTGCCTGCAGGAAGCAGTGCCCGAGCAGGAGCTTTGTGGCGCCGCCGGACTGGGCGATCAGGTTTGGGAGGAGGGAGCCGCCGCGCTCGGAATTCATTTGCTCAGTGTTTCCAGGACTCCCCGCCCTCTTTTTCAGGGCAAATGATTTCGCACCGTAAGCAACAATCGGAGACGCACACTAACACACGGAGGGAAAATATCGTCAATCATTCCAGACTGGCAATTCTTGCCTGTCTGCACACAGCGGCTACGGGCGAACTGTCTCTGCACCGGCTGCCATTCATAAAAAAATTACCAACATCTCTTCTCAATGGAACATTTTGAGTCTGCGCACTGCACTGCAGCTCGCTCGCCTGCGAGATTGTTGCGCGTGGGAGGCTGCTTCGGATTCGAAGAGCTTCTTCTTAGCCTCTGGCCAGAGTCGCCGTGCCAAAAGGGGGTGGCTGCGGGGAAGAGAGCAATCGTACTCA